CTTATGAATCTCTGTTGAATTTTGAGTATTGACTGAGCCTCTACTTTTCCAAGGTAAATCCACTCTGACTGTGGTGAGCTTTGCTTCCTACTCGTGGTTTGAGGAATGGAAAGATGACAAGGTGAAAAACAGAGGGGCTGACTATAAGGAACTAAAGGAGACCCTCATCAACTCCCTTTTAGAAGTGGTGTATCAGATCTTCCCCAAGACAAAGAATAAGGTATGGCTCATTACTGTCTGTTTGCTTTTGGCATTAATATCCAGTCGTGGTGATCTAATTATCGTGATCAGATCATAAACTAACAAGTCACAACCTATTTACACTTGGCTTTTGCAAATATAGTACCCGGATATTGATCTCCCAACGCAGTATGTACATTTTTAAATCAGGTTGGTGTGGCGTCTGTGCAAAGTAGGCAGAGCATCTAGAGGCTACACATTGTTTAATGCTTTATAAAACATTTTGCAATCGCAGTGCAGAGATTTCCAGGCATTTTGAGCTGAGGAGAAAAAACATACAGTAAGTTGTTTACATTTTGCTTAGTAACCACCTCTGGAGCAATCAAAAGAAAAGTATGGTTTAAAATCACAGCCAGGAGTCCTGAGCTTGTACTGTCCTTCACAGCCAGCAAATAGCTTTTTACATTCCACATTTGTTTAAATTACACGTTTAGAGAGCTAGAAATAAGTTGCTCAATAAGATAGGCAGGAATTATATTGAAAGTTGGTGGAGTGCTAGCCACATTGCGTGGATGGGGCAGATCGTTCTCAGCACTTTTGAACACTAAGTTAGATCCAGCCACATTCCAATCACAAACACGGTTACACTTGTCTTTTAAATGCATATATAAAGAGCATCCGATATGGGATGCATTTTAGGAACTCAGGTGTGACCAGGACCCCCTGAGCATTTATACTTGATCCGATTTCAAACAAACTCAACAATGGCTAAAGACATCTAGGGGTTGCTGACATAACATGGCATTTTCACTGTCACAAAATATAAAAATAAATATAATTTGTATAAACATGATTTAAATTGCAGTAAATGGTTGGAGGTGTCTTTATTTTACATGGACCTGTTGTTGTGAAAACTGCTTTATTAGATTTTTTTTTTTAATTTTGAGCCAAATCTTAAAATTTTCCTATGGTGTGACTGTCTCAAGCATGGTTGAATAAATTATACAACCTTTAATAAATTATAACTTTTAATAAATTAATGATGATGAATGCCCCAGGCATAATTTTACAAGTATCTGTTTTAGTTGATGGCAGTCATCTTTTTTCATCCATTTATTTCTAAAAGCGTTGGAACATAATACATTTTGTCACTGAAAACCATGCCCTCCAGTGTGACACCATATCCTGATTTAAAATCTGGCAACTCCACTGACAGCTTTATTTAGTTATTTAGTTCATGTTGCTGAAGTACCCTGTGAAACCCATGACGTGCACATGGTACATTTTTTGTCTCGGAATTGTTCAATTATTTAACTTTTTTTCAGACCCCTGAAAGTGTTACATTTTGTTGTCCTTAGATGTGACACATCTAAATTGTATTTTTTAATTAAGGCTAGGAATAGTATGGTCATTAACTGACATAAAAGGGTGAAACATCCTTTGGTGTGACAGCAAATGTCCACCAGTGTAACACCTGTGCTCTCACATGGGAGGACAAGGTCTCTTTGACAACCATTTAAAATAAATAATATTTGTTTAATCTTTTTTATTCTTTTTTTGGCTATTTTCAGTATTTTTTAAATACAATAGGTGCGTTAGTTAAAACATTTTCTTCTGTATTTGCAGAATATTTGTCTCAAAATACCTTTAAAAACCAGTTTTGCATTAGGAGGGATATTATCATCACTCATCCTAAATTGGTATTGTTTTCAACAGCTTTATTTTTTTTTTGCGTCACATTATGGTGCATCCCCCCCCCCCAACATTTTCTCAAATATCAGATTTCACACTAATTAAATATATTACTTTTTCTTCAAAAATTATGTTCTACAAAAAAGTATTTTACTACATATTTGTCAACTACAACACCTTATCGCTCTCTTTATCTCTGTGGTCACTTTTTTATTTTTTGCTTTCACTCTCTCTCTTGTTTTCTCACACACACTCACTCTCTATGCAGATAGAGTACATGGATGCCGGCACTCCCATCACTAACCAGCACTACCTCGCTTCCCCTAAGGGGGAGATCTATGGAGCTGACCACGACACTTCCCGCTTCAGTACAGATGTCTGCATCTCCATGAGACCACAAACGCCCATCAAGAATCTCTACCTCACAGGTGTGTGTGTGTGTGTGTGTGTGTGTGTGTGTGTGTATATATATATACATAGATCTGTTCATATATATTGTCCCAGTACTCTTCTTTATTTTCTTTTTGAGTACACTGGCCACTTTATTAGGCACACCTACTTTGTATCTATGTTCATTGTCCATTTCATCAGCTCCAACCATATAGGAGCACTTTGTAGTTCTACAATTACAGACTGTAGTCCATCTGATTCTCCCATTCATTAATGACCAGGACCACCACAGAGCAGGTATTATTTTGGTGGTGGATCATTCTCAGCACTGCAGTGACACTGACATGATAGTGACATGTTAGTGCATATTGCACTGGTATGAGTGGGTCAGACACTGCAGTGTTGTGTGTGTGTGTGTGTGTGTGTGTGTGTGTTGTTTTAAACAGTGCATACACTTACTGTCCACTCTCCTTGTTGATCCACCTTGTTGATGTGAAGTTAGAGATGATAGCTCATCTGCTGCTGCACAGTTTGTCATCCTCTTGTTCTTCAGCAGTGGTCAGTTTATGGCCACGGGACACTTTTGGCTGGAAATATTTGGTTAGTGGTAGATTTTTAGTCCAGCAGTGACACTCAGTTATTTATAAACTCCACTTGCACCACTGTGTGTGATCCAATCTGCAGCACATCCACTAACATGTCACCAACATGCTAGTGTCACTGCCGTGCTGAGAAAAGTCAGTAAAAAAGTGAGTGGAAAGTGAGTATAGATATAAGGTGGGTTTGCCCTATAAAGTGGCCAGTGAGTGTATAATCACACTGTAATGCACAAGAGGGAGGACTATACTATGAGATGTGTAACCAGAGCACTTCAATGCTGGTATCTCATTGTGTAGCATCCCCTCAAGTATATTTTTAAATGGCCCATATCATTATTAAAGCTATATCTGCTATATAACACACATCTGCTTTTTCAACCTACAGCAGTTTATTCTGAAGTTATGAAGAGTGATTTAGCCTGTACTGCTATTTGAATGAGAAACAAGAAAAATATTGGATATGGGCCTTTTAAGACTAGGATGACACAAATTAATTAACAAAGTTTATTTTCATTCTGTACATTCATGGTTTCATTAAACAGCGATTATTTTTTAGTAATAGTCCGAACTAACGGTAGCATAATCTTCTTCCTTTAGGCCAAGATGTGTTTTTATGTGGTTTTGCGGGTGCGCTGGCTGGGGCTATGCTGTGTGGATCTGCTGTTCTCAACCGCAACCTTTACGTGGACGTCTTTAACCTCTGTAGGAAACTCAAACAAGCCAAAAAGAAAACCCAGTAACCACAGCAACACTCACTTGAGCCTGGTTGAGCCCTGGAACAGTGGAAAGATGCATTTGAACCTACTTCTGGTTCATGTTGTGGACCTTCAAACAATTAACTGATGAAATCGTCAATGTATATAACAATCCCTGCCCTCGCTGACTAAAACATTAAATTTAAAATTTAAGTCACTTCATAACCATAAAAGGGAGCACAGTATCAAACTTTTTTTTTTAATGACGTATTTTTGGATGTATCTTATGGACTTACATAGTAGTTGTATGTAACATTAGGGGTGGGCGTTATCGCTATAGTTATTGTTCTTGTGATAAATTACATCACAATATGCTTTATTAAGCATTACATGTGGGCATCGTAGTTAACATCGGTATTGTCAGTAAACTTCGCTAATTAGTAAAGTTGTCAGTAAACTTCGCCCACCCCTACATAACCATAACATACCTAAACGTAGCACTTTGTTCTGATTTTGTTAACCTTTTTTGATGAGCTGTGTGTTTCTCTGTTAGCACTATAATACGTAGAATACGTGTCTAGAGCCAGTTTGCATCCTGTGATGTATAAGTGTTGCATTCAGTTTATCTTCTGTTTTAATTGCCTATCTTTGGAAACGTCTGCAAAATAGAGCCTGAGAATGATTAGAAAGTGCCTTTACCTTCTAGAAAGTTTTGAATCCCTTCAAATTCAGGATTGTAAAGTAGTTGGAATAGATGGTGAAATAGTTTGTCCGACTGGCAGGAACTTTTTCCATGAAGTCCAAATATGGTGTAAGCCACAGTTAAGGGCATCAATAAGAAGGGAAAAATGGACTTGAGACATAAATCTACTGTAAGGTTTACAGCATTAGTAAGTTTGAGAATTGCTTGTTATTAATGTTAATTCTTTGATACTGCAGTTATATATGACTGACATGGTTTTTGTCTGATGTTGGTTGTTTGCTTTTTTCACATGATTTTTCTGAAAAGGGAACCCATTTTAACCTTTTTTTTTAATCTGGCACTGTAAAAGCCTGAAACCCTGTGCAGACTTTTTACATGTTTTTAAAATGTTTTTTTTTGACATACTCTTAATGAAAGCATGGATGTTAAAGTTTACACTGAACTGTCAGTATTATTGTTCTGTATCCTGCAGTACTGACATATAAAGCTGCTTTACAGCGTTGAAGTGATTTTGCTGCAATAAACATATAAAACAATTTTGTCTGAACTTTTATGACAAGAAAAAGTCCTGCTAAAAGCAATCCCACGCTGCAATTTGGTCACAGAGAGGGGAAAAAGGTGTGTTAGCTCTGCTGGGTGCACAGTCTGTGAAAGAGCAGGGATGGGAAACTTCTGCCTTCGTTAGCCTTCTTAACATCTGGACTGAACACTCCTCAAAGGTGGGTGCTTTTAAGAGGTTTTTACACCAAGTTAGCTTTTAATCAGTTGAAACAATGGATGATTTGTAAAGATAGAAGACTTGAATCAAAATCCTTAAAAAAAAACTTTAATGATGTCTGTGGTTTAGTGCAAAAGGAATACATTTAGCCTCAGAGCTCTTAAACACATATAGCTTTGTTTTTGTTGTAATAAATATAACCGTGGTTAACGTTAATGTTACCTGCCAACTGGATTAACCTAGTATGAGTAAGCTAGCAAACCCGCTGGCTAATTGCTATGTAAACGCTAAAAGTCTTGAATCTTCATTCTTTCTGTATTATATTTGACAGAAAACTAACGTGTCTAATTACAGTAAATGAGCTAAGACAGTAAAATAGGATTGTTGCTAGGTCGGTCCTACGTCACGTGATCTTTGGCTAGCAACAGCTAGACTAAAAGAGCACTTTTCACATTTATCAGTTTGTATTGACCTTTGGTATTTTTTTAATCTCTCCTTCCTGAAATGCAAATTCAGGAGATTTTCAAAACCATGGATTTCCGCGGTTTGGAACATTCGGACTACGAAATATTAGCCGAACTAGGCGAGGGCGCCTATGGGAAAGTGTACAAAGCCAGAGAGATCGGCGGGCTGCAGCGCCTCGTAGCCGTGAAGAAGCTCAACGTCCCCGGGGAGCCGCACACGGGCATCCCGCAGTTCATGATCCGAGAGGTGGCGCTGTTGAGAAGGATTGAGCATTTCGACCACCCAAACATAGTGAAGTAAGTACAATGATAGTAATAGCAGAGCCGGTTTATGAGGAGCCTGGCCACTTCATATTCCCCCCGTTATATCAAAAACAGGACTGCTAAACAGCAGAGGGCGCCCTCGAGGGAGTCCTCAATGAATGGGAGTAAATGGCGCTCAACGGCTAAAAACGAAAAGTTAAAATAGTTTCTAATCACTCGCCCAGAACGTTTCTTTGATTTTAGAAAGTAGAAGGATGTATTTCACTAAAAAATCAAAGAAAACTCACCTATATTTTTCCTTTTTTCTACAGCAAACGGGTTTTGGGCAGCAGGAGGCGGGCATGACTGCTAGAGCGCGATGATTGATTGGCGAGCAGAGCAGCTCATTGGCTGTTCGTGCTCACTGACGTCATGGACATACATGAGGCGCTGTTTTAAACTCCTATAGCTCGAGTTTAAAAGCTCTTAAAAATTTAACAGCAGTGTTAAAACGTTTTATGATATCCAGTGTTCAGGAAATGATTGCATTCTTTTTACATTAAAAATGTTCAAGCATTTATAAACTATAATTTTGCTCAAATCGCCATATAAACCCGTTCTTTTTGGACTCGCTCAGGAGCGCCCTCTAGCGTTTGAGAAAGTCGAAAGACATTGCAGAGTGATAATTCTCCTCTACAAGTTCTCTGGTAATAATATTTTATCTGCTTTACCCTGCTGAAAAAATACAGTTCCCTTGAACCAGACACCTGGCATCTTTTTTTTTTTGTTGTTTTGTTTTGTTTTTTATGGTGCTGTCCTAAAGATCTTTGTTGGGGAGGGGGAGGGAGCACACTTTACGTTTCAGTGCATGCTGGGAACTGTAGTGCAGCTCATGATGAAATGGGCTAATGTGTGACTAAAGTCGCTTTGGATGAAAAGGTATTTTAACATCAACCGTCATAGCTTACTAGGCAAAATAACAACTTAAATGGACTCTTACATATAGTCTTATCTTAGATTGCCTACGCCTAAACCAGTGTTTAACAGTATTAAGCTGCTTCTAGACTAAAAACACTTTTCATGGGTAAATCACCTTTGACATCACAATTATGTTTTAGGCTAGGTTTAATTTGTGTCCACGGAAGCAACGTCTAAACATCTAAAATCAGTATTTTATATACATTCTTATGTGCCTAAAGGTTGCTGAATGTGTCAGCTGGAGTGAGGAAGCAGAATTTGGACCTGACACTGGCCTTCGAGTACATTGATCAGGATCTGTCATCGTTCCTCAGCACAGTGCCAGAAAATGGCCTGAGTAGAGATAAAATAAAGGTGAGTGGAAATTTTTACTGTTTTATTAACCCCATTAAATGGCCAAACATTTATTAAACACTTCTGTAACATAAGAGTAGCTCGGTCAGCATTAAAATCCACATAGTTACTGAATAATAAGCCTTAGTATGTAATAATCCTCTGATTTTAAGGGGTTCATGCGATTGCTGTCTGTTTAATTCCTGTTGGGGATTCAGCATAGATTTAGGGGCATGTGTAGGATAGTAGCTACATTAAGGTGGATCCCATGTCCTTCCATTTTGCATACATGAAATGAAAGTGCTGAAGTTAGTGTGTTCACATGGTGCTTGTGTATGTAGGACATCATGTGCCAGCTACTAAGTGGACTGGACTTTCTCCACACTAACACAGTCGTGCATCGCGACCTGAAGCCAGACAACATATTAGTCAGCAGCCAGGGGGAGGTGAAGATTGCTGACTTCGGGCTGGCCAGGATCTACACTTACCACATCGCCCTGACGCCCTGTGTGCGTACCACAGTATTCTGCAGTGTTAAACTGGGTAATACTCGCACTGTAGTCTACAAGCCAGAGAGTTTCAGGGGTTTTGTCACTCAACATGGCCAAGAACCGTCTGCTTTGACAAGGAGGAGCCATTTGACTGGCACCCACAATGACCACCCACAGAATGCTGTTTTTCCATGACATGCAGGAGCATGTGATTGTCAGAATAATGCTACAGCATTAACAGACCAGTGAGACACAAAGCTGTATGCAGTAAAAACTGATGCATGGACTGTTTCCATTCCACCTTAAACGGTACAGCAGTTACGTTGTGGCACCTGAGGCTCCATAATGTAACAGCTGCCCCATTTAAGATGGAACAGAAAATCCAAAAAAGCAGCTCGGGAATGAGACTGAGGTTGAGAGTACTTGCACTGTAGTGTGGAGGTTTGTGTGTGCTTTTGTGTGTAGGTGGTGACCCTGTGGTACAGGGCTCCGGAGGTGCTACTCCACTTGGGGTACATGTCCGCTGTGGACATCTGGAGCGCTGGCTGCATTTTCGCAGAACTTTTCCTGTTAAGGTGAGCACACACAGCGCCCCCTGTTGCCGAGGGGGAAGTGGCACTGACCAGACTCAAACAGATAAACTCTTCGCTCTTGTAGGGAGGAGAGAGATGTCTGACTTTAGCTGGAACAGACCTGTCTGGACAATATGTAAGCATGCTCTCTGTAGAAGGTACACTATATAGATAAAAGTATTGGGACACGCCTCTTCTTCATTAAATTCATGTGTTTTATTCAGTCCCATTGCTACAGGTGTATAAAATCAAGCACCTAGCCATGCAGTCTGCCTTTACAAATATTTGTGAAAGAATGATTCGTTCTAAAGAGCTCACTGAATATGAGTGTTGTGCTGTAATAGGATGCCTCAATTGCAATAAGTCAGTTTGTGAAATGTCTTTCCTCACAGATATTCCACAATAAACTGTGAGTGGTGTAATTTAAAAGTGGAAGCGTTTAGGAACCACAGTAACTCAGCCATGAAGTGGCAGACCACGGAAAGTTACAGAGCGGGGTCACTGAGTGAACTGGAACGGAGATTGCGAGCCAGGCCCTCTCATACAACATCAGTGTCTGACCTTACAAATGCTCTTCTAGATGAATGGGCAAAAATTCCCACAGAATTCCCGCTCCAAAATCTTGTAGAAAGCTTCACAGCATAGTGGAAGCTGTTATAGCTGCAAAGGGGGACCAACTCCATATGGATTTAGAATAGGATGTCATAAAAGCTCCTGTAGGTATAATGTGTAGGTGTCCTAATACTTTTGTCCCTATAGTGTATGTACAAGGGGCACCAAACCTTTGCATATGACTGTATTAAACATTTTTCTGTTGTCCTTTAGACCTTTGTTTCGCGGACATACAGAGGTCCAGCAGCTTCAGAAAATCTTTGAGTGAGTAGTGATATTTCTCTCTCAAGCCCATTGAGCTTTGAGCTTTGGTCTAAAGTCATCTGCAAATGAAAGCTGTTTTAATAGTTTGAATCTTGTTTATGTCTCACTATATTTGAAGGGTGATTGGTTTACCTAGAAAGGAGGACTGGCCCAAGGAAAGCCCCATCCGCTATGACCCTGCTTGGGCCAGACAACAGCTGACCACACAGCTGCTGCCCAGCCTCACCCCGGAGGAGAAGGACCTGCTCACCGTGAGTGTTTATCCTTATGTTACAGCAATGCAGTTTAGTTTTTCAGTTAACTTACTGTACATTTTATGTAATATATTCTATTTATATGGAAATGCTGTACACATTTAAATCGTGTAAATGGGTCAATGAAAAGAATAATTATTAAAAATAATATATGTATTTTTGTATCTGTAAGAATAAAATCAGTGTATTAATATTTGTTTCATATCTTTTTAATGGTATAAATGAATGTCACCAGTCATACTTCAGTAAATGATGGGAATATAGAAATAGGGTTGGCTTCATAAGATGAAAATAAAATGTATTTTATCTTTATTGATTTATTTATTTATTTTGCTCTGTTCGTCCTACAGCAATGTCTAGAATTCAATCCAAGCAGACGCGTCTCAGCTTACAGAGCCTTAGACCATCCGTTCCTGTCAGGTCCCTAACGTCCACACACACTGGACAGAAGGCTGAGAGACATGAAGACAGAGGGGGTTGGATGAGAGGAGTGGTCTTTGGCTTGGGCTACTCCCACCCAAACAGTCTAAAAGTCATCTTAGGGTACTTGAGCTGTAATGAGATATGCATCAGGTTTTAGAAGTGTCCTTGTAAGACCTTGTATTAAAGGGCCCATGTCCTATATTTTATCTTGGTCCACTAATGTTTGGATTCCACAGCTGATAACAAGTGTAAATCTCTAAATGTAGCTGAAGTGTTTCCAGCTCAGGACTGTAGTCATTCGTCTTTTACTCACAAAGAGAGCAACTTTAGTGAAATGAACTGCATCGGTACAGTTTGGGTTTTGGTTCTTATTGTATTGTCAGAGCAGCAATGTGAAAATGGCATGACTTTTGAAAGACAACTGCACTTTCTCAAGTTATTCTTTTCTTATGTTTTGCTAGTGTTTTGTTTGTTTACAGGAAATCTTTGATGAATTTGACAGAAACATTAGGTGTTACTACTGTCATCTCTAAAAGCAGCCTTTTTACTTCTTCTCTAAATGTGTTTCTGTTGTAATATTGTGTTTTGAGAGCAACTAAAGACTTGAAAGCATGTTTTTTTCAGTGTACAGTGTTCAACTACTGAATAGAGTTTTAGTTCATTTGTGCCAGTTATATTTATCCATTCATTGAAACATGGACATGTTCACATGGTTCAGCTTTAGAATCTGATATCAAATTAATGTAGCATCAAGGCCTGTTTGACTACCCTGAGCCTGAGTACTGTGTTTGTGGATCTCCTGAAATGTCCACTGATTTGTCTAATATAAACCTATCGTTGGACAATTAATCCTACTTTCTTTTCCTCTCTCATTTCTTTTATTTTCATTTTTAGTCGACCTTGATGTGGGAAGGCCAATCCAGCCTTTCTCTGCTTCTCTTGCTCTCGTGGGTTGTATCCAGAAGGGGGCACTAAAGCAACGTTGGTTGCCACTAACTTAACCCATTCATATCACAAATATGAAAAAATATATATATTTCAGCTCTTGTTTTATCATATTAAATCCAGTCATTTGTGTTACACAGGATCGCTGATTTCCAAAATCCAATTTGGTTGTGGATAAAAGTATGACTTTTAAAAAACATTCAAATGTAGGGGACAGTGGGGCACAACAACTAACTGGGGGTGAAATGTAGCATGGACGTGTTATGTACCAAAACTGGTTCAAGTAGAATGTGCTTTTGGTCACCTGCTGATATTCCTGTACATCAGTGTTTTTGAGTTGTGTATCAGCCTCTTGGGCCCTTGGTGTCCACATGGCAAGGGTAGTTTTAACACCAATAAGTACAATGAGAGCGGTCCACGTCCCCCCATATAAATAAAAACAGTTGGAAATTTTTACTCACAGGTTAATCTAGAACATACCAGAGATGGCATGGAAACAATATATATCGCACTATTGTGTAAAACCCTGTATGGTCCAGAAAAAAAGAGAAATGGTCCAGAAATACTTGGAAAAAATCATGTTACATTAACTTTCATTACAAGTTAAGAAAGTTTCTTCCTTCTCCTGTAACGTTACTGTTTTGGAGATATGAGGTTTAGTTCCAACAGCAGCAATATATTCATTAAATCTTTTTTTTTTTTCTTTAGCTGTTCCACTTTGTGGTCCAAGACAAACTTGCCATAGTCTCTTTTCACTAATCATATTTTTTTGGATGCATATGCTTTATGTATTTAGGTTGGAAAGCTCATTTAATTCAAACATAGAATTGATTCAATTTACCAGACTGGATGTTAATTCACAGGATCTGCACTCACTCTGCTGTTGACTGTATTGTTCACAAAGAGAAGATGTGCTGCTTTGATTGAAAAATTATTAATCTTACTTTTAAAAATATTTAGCAAAAACCACTGCTTGTAATCAATGAACTACTGTTAGATGTCCATGCATGGTATGATATATAAAAAAAAACCCTTTAATCACTGCAGACCAGACAGAACAAGACCTCAGTGTCACTGCTGGACTGAGAATAGTCCACCAACCAAAATATCCAGCCAACAGCGTCCGGTGGGCAGCGCCCAGTGACCACTGATGGACTAGAGGATGACTGACACAAACTGTGCAGCAACAGATGAGCTACTGTCCACACATCCTGAAGGACCTCAGGACTATTAATATTAACTATATATTCATTGCAGATGAAGCAAAATGAGCAGACATTTAAAGGGGACTTTCACCAGCTTTTCAACATTTCTGCATAATTCAATGATTTACATCTATAGGGTGGACCAACAAGGTAGGCATGTCTAACAGAGTGGACAGTAGGTGGATACTGTAAAAACTCCAGCAGCACTGCTGTGTCTGATCCACTTGTACCAGCACAACACACACTAACACACCACCACCACAACAGTGTTACTGCAGTGCTGAGAATGATCCACCACCCAAATAGTACCTGCTCTGTGGGGGTCCTGACCATAGAAGAACAGGGTAAAAGGGGGTCAGCAAAGTATGTAGAGAAACAGATGGACTACACTTCGTTACTACAGAATGCACCACTATGGTAAGTAGAGCTGTTAGTAGAAACAAGGAGGTGGTTTTAATGTTATGGTTGGTCAGTGTAGTCGGTGTGGAATGGGTTAATGACAGCACACCTGTTTAAACACCATATGCTCTCCTCTTTGTGGGACAACTGTAAATGAACTGGTCCAAAATGAAACAATGACAGGATTTTATTAAATTCCCCAGTAAGATTTCAGTAAGTTTGTCTCCTGGAAGCTGTTGTGGTCAGTGAGAGCTCCACCTGAGGGCCATTTTGAACCTCTAAACAGACTGAAGAAGCTGCTGCTGCTGTTCTTCTTGTTGTTGTCCTGTTAGCTTGCAGCCTTAGCAAGTACGAATGGAATGCTACAAGCCCACTGAACACAGCCGTGGAGGGGTATTTTTATCCCTCTCTCTCCCTCTTTCTCTCTCTGTCTCTCTCTCTCCCCACATGCTCCCCCTAAAAGGGCTTTTCACACCCTCTGCCCGAGGCTCAGTGCGCATGCGCAGCTCCGGTGCCTGCTAACACAGCTGACCCGGGTGAAGAGCAGGTAAGTCCCATTCATTTTCCCACAGAGCCCGTGTTTATCATTTAAAGCCTTCGCTGTGGATTAATTTAAGCTACATTACGATAAGAAGCATCTGATACTACAGTGTAACCTACTTTCATGCACCTCTGCTGACTTTGGGTCAAAAATAGCCCCGGTTACATTGCAGACTGGGAAGTCCTCTAGTTCTGAGATCCTTTAGGATGTGTGGGAAAAGAGTGTTTGCGCGCTCTCGTTGCTGACTGAGCGCGCGAGACGCGCACCCGTAGCTCCAGAGCGCGCGCAGAGAGACTTGTAGAGATCAATGCACATATTTGCTCACTGCTGCACATTTGAAACCAGCATGACAAGAACTGTTTTAGATCTGTTTAAAATGGTCTTCTGATGTGGTTTGAGATGTTTATCACTGAGTATTTGGCTTTTTTTCCTGCTTTTATCTGAAGTAAGCGTGTGAATGTGGTGGCAGAGCTGACTGTTGGTGTCCTGCTCTATAATGAAAGATTTAGGATTGAGAATTGATGCTAAACAGCTCATGTGCTGGAGTCCTCCATGCTGCCAGCTGGCCCAGGAACGCTCTTTGGAGATCTTTCCTACTCCTTAATCTAACGCCCAACTATAGTATTTAGATTCTCTTTAAGGCCCTCATTAGCAGGATAAGGGGTGTTAGATCAGGGCTGGGACTTGGAGCTAAACTGCAGGCCAGTACTTTACAGTGTAGTGTTGCTCAAAGTTAGATTAAGTAAATAAAAAACAAGTCTGTTCAATCTAAAGAATCCTAAGGGACTGGACTGTTTCTATTTTTGGATTAAATTAGGGATGCACCAATATGGGAATACATTACAGTTGAAGCAAAAACAGCACACATTTAAAGGGACTTCATTCAACAGCCAATCACTGACTATTTCTGTCACCTATGCACACAAATCTCAGGTTTCTAAAGGTGTGTCATTTGTTATAATGAGTCTCCATTTTTCCATCTAAGCTTGAGCCAGAGGTTTAGCATAGACTAAAGAGCTTCTTGTCAGCAAATCTTGGAATTGACCTTAAACTGTTTTCTCTCACACCCAACTATAGTATTTAAATTCTCTTTAAGGTCCTCATTAGCAGGATAAGGGGTGTTAGATGGACTTGGAGCTAAACTGTGGGCCAGTACCTTACTGTGTAGTATTGCTCAAAATTAGAATAAATTACTAAATAAAACAGGCGTGTCCAATAAAGTGAATACTAACTGGACTGTTCCTATTTTGGGGTTAAATTAGGGATGCACCTATATGGGAACTGTGGGCAGATGCCGACATCTAACATCAGTGATTAGTGTGATGGCGAAATATCAGATTCAGCAGACATGTAAAGGGGACGTTCACCAGCCTTCCAACATTTCTGCCTAATTCAATGATTGAGAAGTAAACAAAGTGGTATGATGTGAAATGGTGCATTGTAGTGAAACTTACCGACTCACATTTCTTTATGTTGGTGGTGATAGAAATCATGGGTTATAATGTGTACAACACTAATATGGCCATTTTATTCACAATCCAAAACAGCTAGTGAGCCCTACACATGTCTTCTGAGTTTTATATGGAATGTTTATAATGGTACAACAGTGTAAAATCTGAAAAATATGGATAAATCTTTAAGAACTGTTTTGCCCTGCGTTTAGGCCAAAACAATATCTCATAACTATCATTAAAACAGTTTCTCAAGCATCAGACAGTAACATGTTATGTAATATCTTTCTGTAACTGAGCTACACGCTTCAGATGTCTGGTTTCTATCATCACTATTGGGAACAGTTCTGACTTGGTAAGTTTTTATAGAATGAAGAATTTTACATCAAACCACTCAGAATTATTTTGTTTAAATCTTAACCATGTTATCATGCAGGTATTTTGAAAAATCTGTGGATTTCCCCTTTATCTACAGTAACCCAGCATCACTTAAACATTCTGCTGTTACAGAATACAGTGAATATGTCATCAGATATTGGTTAGAAATATTGATCAAATGGGAACATCTGCTAACACAGATATTATTGTGATATCATTGTGGATCTCTAGCTTAAATTATCCAGGCTACTGATAAGTGAGCTTTGTGTAATAGCCCCTAGTGGTCCTTATGCACTGTTGATTTGTATTGTCCTGCTGTATCACAGCTGATTCAACTCTTAAGGACTTGATAATTAGCTAATTTAGGCACAGGAAAAACAGCACTGTGGAGATCGGAAGACGCTGAGCTAAATTAAGATGGATATGCAGGAGAACAGGTGGGCACTGGTGGGATTTTTTTACACACCGTT